TTTATCACTCTCGATAGCAGAAATAACACCATCTTGACAGCCACGACTTAATGTTATATAAGAGATAAATGATAGAACAATTAATTAATTGATCTGAATGTCACGTACGATGATAATTCAGCAGATTTGAGGATATATAACAAGTGAAAAAATAATAGCATTCGAAGTTTATAATAATTAACGGAGTATACGATACATACAAAGCGCGGAATAATGTCGGCAGGGGCAAGAAACACTCCGCATATCCTACATAATATAATACTCATAATTAGTAGAATTAAAAGTTTGACTTAATAAAAAGTATATAATTACACACTTTGCACCATTGCGAAACTATTGAGAAAAGAAATAAAACACAGAAATAGAAAATAGGATACTACAAAGTACACACTCAGCGGAGCGCTACAGCAGCACGTCCGCTCACTACCACAGCCCCTGTGCGACTCTAGCTAACCTGCCTAACCTTTGAAACAGCAAACCGACTTTGCCATTTAAATATTCGCATTGCGATCTAACTTTAAGGCTATCAAAGCCTATCAAAATGCACGCCAAGATACCTAACCGACGTCTTAAATTTGATACTTTTCCCGCGAATTTTTATTATCGGCGGCCTATCTCCGAAGTCGACGGTTTTCTTCCCGTTCGTTTTTCGTTTTCGGTCCGGCCGCGCTCCTCCCCGTCTTCCTATTGGATTTCGCGCTATTCCTTCCGATCTGAGAACCAGAGCTTCAGTCTTACGATCGGAGAGCTGAAGCTTCGCGACCCTACACCAGTCCTCAATCCGATCTACCGCACGTTGACCCTCTATTTCAATTTCCCGGCGCGAGTTTTCGCTAACGACCACTGCGAGATCGTCAGCGTACGCAACGAATTTAAATCCCGCGTCCTCCAACAACCGCAAAAGACCATCGAACATGAGGTTCCAGCAGATCGGACCAAGCACGGATCCCTCCGGGCATCCTCTCGCCGCCCGCCTGGACACCTCCACCGAGCCGAGCCGAATCCCGACTACACGATTTTCGAAATAGCTTTGGAGGACGCTGTAAACGTTTCGCGGGCAGTCGCGCTTCTTTAGACTATCTAACACGAGGGGCCAACAGACATTGTCAAAGGCCCCGGAGATGTCGAAGAGAAGAGCGACGGCGTACCTCCCCCCGGAGACAGTGGCCATACGCCGCAACTCGACAACAGCGTCCTCCGCCGACTTTCCGGGCATAAATCCGAACTGTCGACCGGAGACCCCACCCGGCGCCAATGACGTGCCCATGAGGCGAGACTTGAGAAGTTTCTCAAACAATTTCCCTACGACGGAGAGGAGACAGATGGGTCTGTAGGACTTTGGGTCCCTCTCGTCCCTCCCCTCCCCCTTCAGAAGGACCCGAAGCGAGCCCGCCTTCCAGACTGAGGGGAAGACGCCCCATCGAAGGCACCCATTATACAACCTAAGGAACTGACCGGGAATTACCCTGCAGGCCGCCCTCAACACAGCGACCTCTATCCGATCTGGCCCCGGGGCCTTATTATTTTTAAATGTTCTCACCGCCGCAGCCATTTCCGCCACCGTGAAGAAAGGTGTATCGGCTGTAGCGGGAGACACCCTAGATAAAGATCTAATTCCACGCTGTTCTGGCGTGTCATCGTTTTCCCGGTCTTCTGGGACGTGCACGTCCAGAAGGCAGCCGGCGGTTTCCTCCAAGGTCTTCGTGGAGCCATCGCCACACCGGAGTACGCTCAACACACTCTCCACCCGGAGTTTGCTCGCTTGGTGCCTATAAACGAAGCCCCAAGGCTCCGAATTCCCGTTCGATGTGACGAACTCCCGCCAACTTGCGAGCTTCGCCCTCCTCACCTCTCGGCTGTATTCTCGCAAAGATGAGCAGTACTCCAGCCTTAGAACGAGGCGAGTGGGCTCGTCCCGCTCCATCTGAAAGGCACGCCTCTTCCTATACGCGCTCTTTTTGAACACCGTCAGCTCTCTCGTCCACCACGGGTTGGACTTTCTAAATTGCCTTTTTCTCGGCATCGACACGGAGCAGGCTTCGGTGAGAACCGTCGCCATCCTCTCCGCCATTACCTCGATACGATCCCCGGAGCACAATTCGAGGGCCTCCAGTTTTGATCGTGAAAGATCGGTCAGGCTCTCGGAGAATCGCTCCCAATCAGCACGACGAGTGTCGAACCTCGTGCTCGCGATCCCCCGGTCTTCGCCCTTTGGCACTCTCAGCCTTATGTCTACGGCGCTGTGATCGCTGGTCGTCCACTCCTGCCTTACTTTCCATTCGACGATGAATTGGCTCATGGAGGGCGACGCCAGGGTCACATCGATGTATGATGCGCCCCTTGCCGTCCAGAAAGTGGGACCCTGCCCAGCGTCATTCACAACGCTCATGCCAGATGCCCGAATGAGGTCCTCAAATCTGTCGTCGGTCTGCTGGGGACTCCAGAGTGACGACCGGGCATTGACATCTACGGCAACTAACAGTCTCTCCCCCCTCAGCGAATGAAACACCAGCTCGAGGTGCCTGAGGTGAGTCTCGATATCGTCGCTGTACTGGAAGTAGCACGACACGACGTATAGCGAGATCCCAGGGGTCTGCACTTCCGCACACACACAGTGCGTCGTGCTAAGCTGCGAGACAAACAATAATTGGAATTGATTACAGACCGCCACCGCAGCCCACGGACGTTGCGAGCGTACGGCAGCCACCCTCATCCCGACACCTAGCCCTACGAAGGTGTGGCCCGTGCCCTGCTTCCTGACGTGGGGTTCCTGCAATAACAGGACGTCAAGTCGCTTTTCCGCGACGAGCTGACGCACCTCTCCCGTAACCACAGTCGAACGCCGCATGTTCAACTGCAGTATCCTAACTCCCGTGGACACTATCAAAGATTTCGAAGCGTCGGCCGTCCGCCTGACCGGCGACCGAGAACCTAACCTCGATACAAACTGGGACTGGAGCTGGGGGGTATTTGTAGACTCTTCCGTCGAGTTCAATGCGGAATCTAGGTCGTTCGTGGATCCGATCGCGTTTCTATTATCCCTACACGCGGAGCTATCTTTCTTATTTCTAATCGCCCCTTGTCCCTCCTGGTTGAAGATCACAGGCAGGGATCCCCTCGCGAGAACTCCGTCACACCTATCCAACATTATACGGACGACACGAAGGTCGCAACCTGTGGACTGTGCCTCGTCACGTACTGGACCGCGCACGCACCCGGACACAGCTCGGCGAGGCGCTCCCAAGGAAGAGGACGCCGTCACCGAGCGCGCGACCGAGCGGACCCGCGACCCGACGCCAGACACGTCCCGTGCTTCCATGGTTACGTCCCGTCCTGACCGGAAGCGTGAGGCCAGGCGGGCACTCCTCACCACGTCTTTAAAATTTTTAAACGAAACCATATTGTTCCCACGAGTACGGTGGAAGGGATGTCGAGCGACGTAGAGCCACCTTTACGCCACCAAGCCTAATTACACCGAGGGGACGGCAGGTACCTCGGAGCGGACCGTTAGCGGTCGCGAAATTAACGCCCTCGCAACCATTCAGACTCTCAGCACGGTACCTAACACCTTAGCCTTTAGACGAGCGCCATTCGAGGAAAACGCCTACCCGATTGGAGCAAACTGCTCAACGAAGTTTACCTGAAATAGAATTAAAATTAGATTAGTAGACTCCGGTTCCGCCACCCCCGCCGCAGCAGGGATGTCGGGCCCGGAAGTCTCCAGAGGCAGCCCCCGCCATCCATCCCCCCCAAAAGGCAGGGCGGAGGGCGGAATGGGAAAGGAGAGGCTACCACAGGATGATGGGGAATGCGAGGATGAGGGGGGAATGTAGAGAATGGAGATGGTGAAGGAACGTGAGAAGGAGTATTGGGGAAGGGAACGAGAAGAGGCCGACCCATGAAATGGCGGGGCCTCTCAACTCATCCGGGAGGGCGAATCTCACGCGTCAAATCCACCACGAAATAGCGGAGCCCCTCAATCCAAGTAGAGGGATATTGGGGAGGGGAGCATGCGCCAGACCAGGGCGAGAAGACGGCGTCGCTCCACCCATCCGAGGAGACAAACCACGCGTTCCAAAGTCACGGGACCAGCCCACCAGCACATGCGTTGTGCTTGCCACATAGGAGTCATTTGTTCATGGAACAGATTCATGGCTATGCTGTGTTAATAGGAGGCCCATGGACGAGAGAAAGGGAGGAGAAGCGCCCACCGGCCGTCCGCTCCGACCCCTCGCAGACTGTCAGCATGGCTTCCGCCACTCGAGCCGCGTACAGGGTCGTCACCGCAACCACCGGACCACGCTATGGAAGGGAATGGGAAGGGGGAGGAGATGTCACTACTGCTTATTGGTTCCCCCATTACGGGGTATCCAGCGGCACCCATCGAGGAGGTTGCAGTCTGTGACACGGAGTGAGAGAGGCTGTATATTCGCGTCATCACTCCAACACCGCCTAGTAGATAGGGACAGTGGGAATCTCGTTAATCCATTCATGCGCGTCACTAATTAGATGACGAGGCATTTGGTTATGTGTCAAAGTGTGCTGTGCGACCCGCAATATATGCGCAGGCCACGCTCGCAGAACCATTCTGATATTGCAAGGCACTT